GTGACAGACTAATTCATCCTCGATGTGTGAAGGAGAGGTTCCGCAGGTCTTTCCTTCCTGCTGCTGTCAGACTGTACAACAAACAATAAGGACTAATGAACACTGCCAACCTGATTCCAACCTGTTTCCACGTGTCATGCATCGTTGCAATATCCCTATCTTATACCTGAATGTGCAATATACAGCTGCTAATGTACAGATGCTAACATATAACTAGAGATGCACCGATCCAGCTTTTTTACTACCGATACCGATACCAGAGCTATGGGTTTCTGCCGATACCGATATTGACCGATACCGGAAATGATCATGCTAAAATGTATTTAATAATTGAACTCTTTGTTCAAGTAACTGCAAAAGCAGTGGATGAACTAAAGCGCTAAACTTTCCAGATAAAAATGGATTCAACATAAATGTGCAATACTGCAACTATAAAGAGCTGCTCAATGTTCACATTAAACATTCCAACACTGTATTATACCTTATACATTTATTGAATATAAATGTACTTATATTAACTGTGTTTGAATAAATAAACACTTACAACAAACAAAACGCTGCATGAAAATGTAAATAAATAATAGTACCGTAGCTTTAAATGGATTTCAGATATGTATTTGGCGACCGCATGTACCTGGGTTCCAAATGGTCTATGGGGACAATAAAGTGCACACACATAAATCCACATTTATCAAAGGTAGGTTGTGGAGAAATAACATAGCACCCAGTTGTTTAAAAAGAAGAAAAGACAGCATCTGTAGGTACTGTATCGCAATAAAGAAACTTTGTGAGGGAGAATCCACGAATTCAAGCTCTTGATAGATGCATGAAACTAAAAATGCAACAGCTTATAGATAATGGAACATTCTTGCAACATCGTTACAATGGTCTTGTTTACAGACTTACTTTAATAGAGATTTGCATGAGACAAACCAACTGTCCTTTGTTGTTTTTATAAATCCCATTGTCCGTATTTTGGGTCTGCAGAGCTGGGTGTCCTCTGCAAACTGCAACTGTAACTCGGGCACTTGTACCAAACCACTATTTTCCGACACAATAACAAAGGGGCCGTGCTGTGGGGAAAATGGCTCGTGTAGTTTGGATTCACTCCACTGTACCTGGCAATTTATTTGATGAGTGAGTTTTGTGACCTTGGAGTCAGCGAGACCTATTAGCTCAGAGCAGCGAAGTTGGCCAACAGAGGACAGCCCCGACGGGAACAGTGCACTGGGAGTTTGTGGGAAAAGTGTGAAAGGATATTTTATCAATCAAATTCGATTAATATGTTTCCCCACTGTGCGACGGATAAAGGATCTTTTAATCTTGGTATATACAGTACATTTGATCGCGAAATCAAGCATTTTCTATTCCAGAGCCCAGACAAAGGGTCAGCTTTGAGTGAGTGAGATTCTACTTCAGCAATTACAGCACAGACCAAAAGTTTGGACACACCTTCTCATTCAATGAGTTTCCTTTCTTTTCATGACCATTTACTGTAGATTCACACCAGGCTGTGTAAGGGCCGTTTGACCAATAAGGAGAGTGATGGGTGCTGGGCCAGATGACCTGGCCTCCACAGTCACCAGACCTGAATCCAGTCCAGATGGTTTTGGGGTGAGCTGGACCACAGAGTGAAGGCGAAAGGGCCAACAAGTGCTAAGCATCTCTGGGAACTCCTTCAAGACTGATGGAGACCATTTCAGGTCCTCTTGAAGCTCATCAAGAGAATGCCAAGAGTGTGTGAATCAGTAATCAGAGCAAAAGGTGCTACTTTGAAGAACCCAGAATATAAGACATATTTTCGGTTGTTTCATACTTTTTTTGTGTACGTACATAATTCCACATGAGTGAATTCATAGTTTGGATGCCTTCAGTGTGAATCTACAATTTTCATAATCATGAAAATAAACTCTTTGAATGAGAAGGTGTGTCCAAACTTTCGGTCTGTCCTGTTTAAATAATCTTTTGAAATGTTAAAGCTTTTTTAAAAGCATTTAATATATAAGATTTTTTCCATTTGACATTATTAACCCTGAAAAATTGAATGTTTGAATATTTTTGTTATTGCATCAGTCACTAACAATTTATTTTACACATTGCAATGTAAATTTAGAGAGAAACCAGAGAGGGACCAAAGAGAGACCAGAAAGAGACGATAGAGAAACCAGAGAGAGACCAGAAAGAGACCAGAGAGAAACCAGAGAGGGACCAAAGAGAGACCAGAGAGAAACCAGAGGGACCAAAGAGAGATCAGAGAGAGACCTGAGAAACACCAGAGAGAGATCAGAGCCTCACTGACAAAAGGTCAAAAACGAATAAGTTTCAAGGCAGTTTCAGTCTGGTAAAGACAAATTTTCACACATTAACAAAATATCACTATATAATTATTTTCAATAGTTACTGACAAGAATTTATTGAGTCCTGATGAAACCTATTTCGCTCAGAAAAGAGATGTTGCCGCCAGAAATCAGAGTACCAGTCAGTTTTTTCTTCTTCTAATCAGTACAGAATATGACGTAACCTTGTGTGAGTTGAGTTGCATTGAGACTTCGCACAGACAATGGCAGAACATTTCTCCAAGTGTCAAACAGGTTAGATCCAGCTTGGCGAGACAGCCCATTCGTTTTGCCCAGGAGCCCAAACATACAAATACATTTCTGCGTCGGAGTGGAGCATGTGCCTTGGGGCCAGACAAACGAGCGAGCGCTTTGAATTTAATTACTGTCAGCCGCAAACAGCAAGCGTCTACACATCCACCAGATTCGCTTTTATGACAATGCACTTTCCCGACGACAAAACTTTCCACTTGTGGCCGAGGGACTGTGATGTGGTGGTATCGTTTGTGACAAAAACTTTTCATGAGATAAGATTATTGTTCACTAACTCAGCTCTGCCTCTGAATCAAATATGGCTGAGAAATTATTTCATTGACTTTCATTGACAATCCTTATTAATTATAGTATTCATATTGTTCTAGAGTACTGATAAATGGGCAGGGACAGGTCGTAGGTGAAACAGATATTTTCAAAGCTCCCAAGTCTTGAATGCAGGACAATCATAGACCGTAGATATCATGCTCTGTGGGCGTGAATTTAAGATTAAGCTTAAGAAAAAGAGATCCTTTATTTGTCCCACAGCAGGGAAATTTCAGTCATGCATCTCAAGTTACAGAACAGAAGGAACGAAGAGCACTCAGCACAAGATAAAATAAGTGAATAATAGCTAAACTAATTTAATATAAAACAAAATCTCTAACTCTAGCATCAATAAAAAGTATAAAATCTCAATCTTGAAAATAATAACAAAAAGAAGTGTAAAAGTTTTACATTTGGAGTGGTTAATGGATTTACAAAGACAATATCAAACTAAAAACAGTATAACAATTGTATATATGTAAGTAGAGCAGATGTATTCCCTCAAGTATGTAGTTCTTTGAGCTACCTCCTTAATCAGTCAAAACAAAGTTTATGTAATTGTTATTGCTGATTCTAGGCTTGACAAAACCACACTTAGACAGATATTAGTTTGTTACTTGCACCAAGGAGATACTGACTGAGAAGGAGGATTTGGATAGAGCAAATCACAGCCTTCTGCTTGTCCGTCCCAGTCACAACTGCCTTCATGCTCCCGTTTTGGGATCTTTATTGAAAGACAAAATCACACCACCATACAAGGTCCTTAATTACATATAAACAATAACCCCTCTGTGGTATACAGACTTCAAAAGCCCTTGCCAGGGACTAAAGGTTACCTGCCCATCCTGGTCCATAATGCCGGGGTAGTGTAGGTTGCCTTATTGATCTCTAGATTAAGGTTAAGCACATTCGTACTCCTTTAATTGATATTACAAACTTTATTTATATTACAGTAATGATTTGTGAGCTCTCAGGATCTGATGCATTTGCAAAAGGAATGTGATTAACTCAAAACATTGAAAAAGCTTTTTGCTTGTAATTTCTTTTACTTGGAAGTGGCGCAGAGCTACTGGCCAGAGTCTAAGGCGTTTACTTTTCAATTAAAGTGAATGCAAATGGAAGGCAGAAGGAGGAAAACGTAGAATTATAAGTGACTCTTCTGGCCACCCTGGTAAGGCCGGACGTCACACTTTTTTAAAGCTTATTTTTCACTGGTTTTTGCGTGTCTCTGGTGCACTAATCAAAAAACTGCAATTTTACCACTGCACTTTCCTTTTGGGCTACAGCACTGTACACACCGAGAGCACATGATTAAGGCCCTGTCCAGAAAGAGACCATTTCAGTCACGTCAGCAGAAGTATCATGTCTATTTCAGCTATCGTCCACATGGAGCCAGTGAAAACCCATACGGTTGCTAAAGCTGGGGTACCTAGATTTTAAACCACAATATTTTTTACTAGAATCCATGCTCTCAATGTTTGGTTCTATCACTAGTTTTTCTTTAGTTCTGTCTATTGCTTACTTTGTTTTATAGGTTATTTATTGAATTTGTGTGATTGCATATACAGTATGTCCTGTTATGTTATTGTACCTGAATTCCTTATTTTAATCACTTTTTCAACATTTTGTTTTTTATTGTTACTTAAAAGCTGAGCCGGGTCATAAAAACATGCATTAAATTTTACCCGTAGCTCAGATTTTCTTTTTCAGACAAAAAGTGAAAAAGAGGCTGTGCTAGTATGCAAACAAAATAGCTTGTTTTTTACTTAGATAAAGACAGCAAAATGTTGGGACAGACAAGATGTATTATCTGTGAAAAAATGTGGTACCCCAGCTTTAGTTACACAATTCAAAATAATCAAAACTACCATGTGACCTTAATTGTTTCCCTCCCCCCTGAAATATCACTGTGCGTTTTAAAATCACATTTGCGATATTGGCACGATTTGTAATCATTGTCGATTGATCTTCCCTGCAAAAACATAAAATGCAGCGTGAAGAAAGCAACACAAAAGCCTCCTGCCCACGCCTTTCAACCTCACATATTTTTCATAAGGATTCAATACAAAACAATATCATTCGAGACTAGCGGAATTTAATCAGGGCTTTTTGAACGCAATTATGGTTATCGGGGAAGACGTGGCGGACGCGAGCGGGAGGCGGCGGAACACCCACGCGTTTGTCTGACTCGCCGCGCCATTTGTCACCGCGCCCAATATCTCCGAGGCTGGCAGAGCTCATAACGGCGGAGGAGGGCCCCGCGAGAGACACCTCCGCATCAGTGCAGAGATCTGATAAGGACCGGAGCGAGTGGGGGCCCCAGGCGGAGAGAGGGGAGGCCAGGCGGAGAGAGGGGAGGCCAGGCGGAGGGAGGCTGGGTGCAGCACGGGGTTGGTGAAAACAGAAGAAGACGTCAGAGGTTAAGGCGGTGAGCACGGATGAGGAGAGTCGATGCAACTTGTGTGGTCCGCTACATCAGGTCCCCAAAGCAATCTGACCCAGCCGACAGTCCTTCTACCTCAACATAATCTATGTTCTCTTAGCTGCGGTAACAAACATGGAACTACCTGGATCTACAGCCTGATATCTACAGTGCTAGAGGCAACAGGGATCAAAGCACCCAATATATTTGCTTGTTTCCTCAATCATACGGTAGATCGACTTTTGAGTCACAAAACTCTACTTTAAGATGAAGACTGAAATCTACCTCTTCAGGGGCATCACACTTTTACATATACATGAAACTGCATAATTTGGTTCAATAACAACAAAACACATTTTTACACGCTTTCTTAAAGGAGTGAGCATATTTTTTGGAGACTTAATGATTGGAGAAATTATAATGACGTATTATTGCATTCTGATATTGGATGCAGACTAGATGTTTTTACGATCAATTACACTGCAAAAAGTGCTAAAAAAAATAAGAAGAAAATTCCTAATTTTGCTAAATCTATGTTACTTTGAGCCCATTTTGACTGCCGTAAAACGCAATATGCCAATGGGACAAGCTAATTTTAAAAAAGTTTTAAAAAGATGAAAGAAATGTCTCACTTTGAACAAGGAAAAAGATGCAACATTTCTTGAAATAAGACTAAATGGCTTTGTCTCATTGGCAAATCTTGTTTTAAGACAGTCAAAATTGACTCAATTTAAGATAAAAACCACTTGATTCAAGCCTTTTGTACTTTAAAATGTAATCATTATTTGCTGTGTAGGACATTTTCCTCGGCTAGCTTATAGTCGTCGACAAAATTTATACAAGATACACACTTTTGGAGACAATATTAACATGATTTACACATGTTTAAACTGTTTTAAGCATTATTTTACTATATATGTATCTTTGTATGGGGAGACACCAGGCTGGGGATGAAAGCCGCTTGTTACAGTAGTGAGAATGTTCCCCTGCTGCTCCTGCTGCTGCTGCTGCTGCTGCTGCTGCTGCTGCTGCTGCTGCTGCTGCTGCTGGTCCCTGTACACAGTTCCTTCCTTTTCCCCTCGCGCTCGTGTGAAGTTCAAAGCCCCTTCTGAAATGCGGGAGACGAGGCTGCCGTGCTCAGAGTGTGCCCGGAACGCTGCCCAGATTCGCCCTGTGTTCCGCAGCGGTGTCTGCTCGTTTCATCCCATCCTGTTTTTCTCTCATTGTTCATGCACCTATACAAGTTTTTTGGGGGCGTGTGTTTGAATCAGATAAACGAAGCCAAACAAGTCTCTAAAGAGGACATATGGTGCAAAAATTATCTTTTAATTACACTCATCTTTAGACTCCTTTTCCACCTCTGCGGTACGATTGCACTGTTCTAATCTTTAGTGTTGATGCTATGCCATGTAGAAAAACTGACAATAATGTAAATGCATCAGTTTAAATAGCATTTTTTTGGACACTCAAAGACGCTTTACAAGTCATTATTCATACATTTTGAGTGCCTTTGCTTTTAACACCTACCTAGTTTAGTGTTTTACATGTGTTTGCGTATATATATTTTTTCTTTAGTGCCTGTGTATAATGTAAATGTGCACTTTATTGTCCCTGTAGGGAAATTTGTCCTCTGCATTTGACCCATCCTGATGCCACTAAGGCTTACGTCATGAGCAGTGGGCGCCATAGTCCTGCGCCCACAAACCCATCTCCAGATGTTGATGCTCGGCTTGGTCAGGACTACCAAAGCTGGAGGATTTTACCTGTTGTGCATGTTTTTGAGAGGTAGAGGAAACCGGAGCACCAGGAGGAAACCGGAGCAGACACTGGGAAATCATGCCACCAGCCCCGCCAACCAAACACCAACTATTCACACACACACAAACACCAAACTCACCCTTTGGCTTGACAACAGACATACAACAACATACAGTATTCCCGTTAGTATGTGGTGTTTTCTGAGAGTCGTTTTGTGAGAGGGAGATGAGGAACTGGAGGAGAGGAGCTCCTTCTCGAGGGCAAGATGCGTTTTTTTGTGTAAATTCAGTCCAAACGACCAAACCACTGATTGAGGAAGTGAGCATGCTTTGACTGATTGAGGCGTTGAACTGTCGGACCCTGAATTTTCAAAGCTGACTAGAGTAATAATTGGCGTTGATTTTGTCATTTTTGCCATGACAGCTTTCCATTTAAGCCGGAAATGTGCGTGGGCGGCGAGGAGTTTAAAGGAATTCAGATGGTTTCGGAGGTGATGTACTTGTCTGATGTCTATTAGCGACTCAAACGTGTAAGAATCACAAGACAAAAGCTGTGAAAAGTCAATTCTGTTTGCCGTGTTCTCTTCCAACAGAATCCACAATGTTAACAGATTGGCACATTTTACCAACACGACTTTTTGGCTCTTGTTCCCAGGCAGAGTATCCGCCGCTTACACTTTTCTTTCCAATTACCAGCATTATCCCCCAGCGTTTATCTCCAGTGGCGTTCGCCGTCCCAAACACTTATTGTGTGAGTTTTGGGCAGTCCGCTCCACTTAAGCAGTTCTTCCTTTTCGCCGGTTTCTCCCCGATCGGTGTGAATAAGCTACAGGCGGAGTACGGTATAGTACTCTGGCCACTTCCAGCACAAACACTGAGTCCTTTGGGTGCTCCTCTTATTTTGTTTCCTGGTACTTTTTGTATGTTCGCTAAATTGGCTTGACGCTAGCAAAAACAGAGCTCTTTGAAATGACTATTCTATGACTATAGCCAAAAACAGTGAGATGGAGAAGGGATGAGATACCATTCGACTTGACTTGCGTAACTTTTGCAACTACTGGTCAAATAGACTGCCTTCATGGTCAGGCCAGGCCAGGTCAATTTTGAGGTGAGCCATGTTTTATTAAAGTTTTTCCATCGTAAATATTGGGTGTAATTATGGCAAAGGTACAAGGAACGACGTATTGAGAAAATGTTACCCTACAGTATGTGTTTTTTGTCGAAAGAGAACATAGGGTCATTAAGGGAATATACAGTAGATTGTTCAAACTTGTAAAAATCACTGAAAAAAACAGGTAGATGAGAAAATAAAACTACTTATTCAGGCAATTATTACATTATTCAAACTGCGGGAGACTACATAATTATGTAGTTGTAAAGCGCTTTGTGACTCTCATCTGTGAAAGGCGCCATATAAATAAAGATGTCTTACTTTCTTATACTCAGCCCTTAAGTCAGCCCTTTATTTTGTTCACATTGACAAACTTGTTAAGGAAAACCCATATGAGTCTCTATTCAATTTTAATTCAATGTATTCTTGTATAGGCCTAACTTACACAGTATTCACTTGAAGGACAACATTTTCTCAAACAGATCAGAGAATAAAACAGTTCACAGGTATGAAATTCAATGATAAAAAGAAAAAAAGATAAAAGTGCCATTGGTCCATAAGGGCAGATGACCAATATTCATAAATGCCGAGGAGTGTTGCGTGTTCTGGGTCATCACCACTGTCCTTAGACCCCGCTGCATCCGCAAGGAAAAACTCTCGGTAAAAAATGAGGGACGGACGGGCTGTAGATCCAGGACGATCTATAGAACGAGGACCAAGACCACGCGATGCAGGACCCAGGCTGTAGAACGAGGACTGAGGCCACGCGATGCAGGAGTCAGGCTGTAGAACGAGGACTGAGGCCACGCGATGCAGGACCCAGGCTGTAGAACGAGGACTGCGGCCACGCGATGCAGGAGTCAGGCTGTAGACTGAGGCCACGCGATGCAGGAGTCAGGCTGTAGAACGAGGGCTGAGGCCACGTGATGCAGGAGTCAGGCTGTAGACTGAGGCCACGCGATGCAGGAGTCAGGCTGTAGAACGAGGACTGAGGCCACGTGATGCAGGAGTCAGGCTGTAGACTGAGGACTGAGGCCACGCGATGCAGGAGTCAGGCTGTAGACTGAGGCCACGCGATGCAGGAGTCAGGCTGTAGACTGAGGACTGAGGCCACGCGATGCAGGACCCAGGCTGTAGAACGAGGACTGCGGCCACGCGATGCAGGAGTCAGGCTGTAGACTGAGGACTGAGGCCACGCGATGCAGGAGTCAGGCTGTAGACTGAGGCCACGCGATGCAGGAGTCAGGCTGTAGAACGAGGGCTGAGGCCACGTGATGCAGGAGTCAGGCTGTAGACTCAGGCCACGCGATGCAGGAGTCAGGCTGTAGAACGAGGACTGAGGCCACGTGATGCAGGAGTCAGGCTGTAGACTGAGGGCTGAGGCCACGCGATGCAGGAGTCAGGCTGTAGAACGAGGACTGAGGCCACGTGATGCAGGAGTCAGGCTGTAGACTGAGGGCTGAGGCCACGTGATGCAGGAGTCAGGCTGTAGACTGAGGCCACGCGATGCAGGAGTCAGGCTGTAGACTGAGGACTGAGGCCACGTGATGCAGGAGTCAGGCTGTAGACTGAGGCCACGCGATGCAGGAGTCAGGCTGTAGAACGAGGACTGAGGCCACGTGATGCAGGAGTCAGGCTGTAGACTGAGGCCACGCGATGCAGGAGTCAGGCTGTAGACTGAGGACTGAGGCCACGCGATGCAGGAGTCAGGCTGTAGACTGAGGACTGAGGCCACGCGATGCAGGAGTCAGGCTGTAGATTGAGGACACGCGATGCAGGAGTCAGGCTGTAGAACGAGGACCGAGGCCACGCAATAAAGGAGTCAGGCTGTAGACTGAGGCCACACGATGCAGGAGTCAGGCTGTAGAACGAGGACATAGGTAACACGACACAGAACTGAGGCAGCTTATAGGCAGAGACTATATTCCCCTTCAGACTGAGAAATTAAACTCTTCTTATTTTCAATCTAAACCTAACATGGTGTGGTCTCATTGAAGGCACGCAGTTTTAAAGAATGTCATTTAACTGGAGGTAATACTGTTTTAAAAGGCAGAAAATTACTTTTTTCATTGGGGCCTGCAAGATTAATCACAAAAGAAAAATTGCAATTCTGGTGGCTGCAAAGACTGGAATTATTTCAAAGTTTTGGAAATGACAAACTAATTCTAATAGCAATTCACTCTGCATGCATGTCAAGTTTATCCCTCAAAGTACAGAAGACCAAAGAAGCAAGTCAAAGAGAGAAAAAGCCCTCTGTTCTACAATGTTATTCTTTTTATTTCAAATTTTCTCTCTGTTTAAATGAGGCTTCAACATATTTGCAGTGTGTGGAATTGTAAAGCATATGATTATTATGGGAAAAAGACACTTCATTATTATCTTTGAAGTTATCTTTAAACTGCAAGCATCGTCGAAAGGCCTTGTGCAAAATGTTTCTTTGAAGAGAATCCAACTTTTATAACATTTAATCCTATAAAATGTGTTTGCATATTTTGCCAAAATTATTCTGCCCTGCTGTTAATGATGTCATAGTCTAAGGATTCTCCATAGTTACGCTTTCCTGTGTAGTCCGTTTTAAACTGAGTGTCTCACCATCACAAATGGCTGTGAGCGATACTGAAGAAGAACAGGAGAATGGATGAAAGATGGTATAAGAGGAATTTCCATAAATAGTTTGGACCAAAAGCCTTCACAAACGAGCAGTGAAGATGCTATTCTTAACGTCTTGTCTTTGCTTGGTTTGTTTGTGGTTTGTCAACTCTAAACCTGTATTTAGAGTTGACATTTCTTTTTGCATTTCTTTTTCCACTGCCATCACCCCAGGCAGTTGTGGGGCGGATTTCCAGATCGTATTTACCATTGACCTTTTGCATCATGAGAGAAGAGATTAAAAATAACGCATGAGCCACAAGAACAGGCTAATAATGATAATAATTAATTGAAGTCAATAGATGAATACATAATAATAAAGTCGGGTTAGAGGAACATTTTTGAGCTGGGATCTGTCCCTACTGGCTCATACTCAACAGCCCTCTGCTACCTGTGCTAGCTTAATACATCCACACCTAACTTTTTCGTAAACCAGACCAAACCGGCCTTCTCTCATTCCACAAAAAGCCAATCTCTGCAAAAGATTCACGTTTAAACACAGTGTCTGTTACTTAAAGCATCCAAACCTACACTCATCTTTTCTTACAATTATCCGTCGGTACAACCTGTCATTTGTTGCCGTCTCTTCAAACTTGCCGAGAAGGCCGACTCTCGCCGCCAAAATGAAGCTAATTTGTATGGTTCTCCAGCGGCGTGCCGTCTGTTATACCAGCTGTCGGCTAGGGTGTCATCCCAGGCCAGGGCCACCGCGACCGACTGTTACCATCAGAGCTCCTCCTACAGCACGAGGTTCTAATCATTACAGAAAGTCAAAAGACAAAATGTTCTGCAAGTTTTCTGTTCTGTACAGCAAGCAGGTCCTGGGTTCGATTCCACCTCCAGGCCTTTCTGTGTGGAGTTTGTGTAATCTCTTTGTGTCTGCATAGGTTTTCTCTTGGTGCTGTGGTTTTCTCCGGATGCTCCGGTTTCCCCTACCACTAAAGACACGGACAATAAGTATGAATGTAATGAGTGAGTGAATGGATGGTATTTATTGGGGGCTTTGATGAACTCTGATAAAAATGTGCTATATAAATAAAGATTACTTATAAATTATTTCATTTTTGACCTAAAACCTTTTGATATTTATTGTTTTGTTATGTGTTATGGGACATAATTTATAATATAGGTAAACATGTATGAAGGATCAAGAAAGGATCTCAGTAATATAAGGAAATACCTGGTGGTGGAAGTGATCAATTATAATAACAAGTAAAAGATGGCATGTAATTAAATGCAGGCAGTTAAAAAATCACAAGTATATTACTGTGAGTTACTGGAATTTACATGAAAACATTGTCGAGTCATTTTTTCCTACAAAATTCAGCATTTAAAATACACGATTCCACTGTGCATCACCGGTTACAAAACAGTAGGACTGAGAAGCACACAGCACATGATGAATGAACATTAACTAAACTAAATACAAATAAAATAAAAATGTCTAACTCTAGAATGAAGAAGACACAGATAGAAAATCTTTATCTTTAGCATAATGAGTACAAACTCTGACTTTAACTGTTAGCATGAAAAAAAGAAGTATGAAATTCTTACCTTTAGCATAATAAGAAGCAAGTATAAAGTACTGTGAATTCTAGTGCAAGTAATATATAGTTGTATGTTGCATTTGAGAGCAGCATGAGGCTCTGGGGCAAAGTGACTAAGTACAATAAAAGTGGACACATGTGGTTCTGGGGCGACAGTAGCTCAGTTGGTAGAGCATTGGCCTTTGAGCCTGAAGGTCGTGGGTTCAAGCCCACCGTAAGACCTACTTCACGACTCCCACTGATGACTGCTGCCGTTGTGTCCTTGGGCAAGACACTTAACCCCACTTTGCCTGAAGCCCCCACTGAAAGATCTCAGCTCCTGTGGACTCACCACCTGCAGGAGGATCAGTGAGGGGCTGGTGCTCTGTGACTGGGTGCAGCTCTGACTGCCACCCCCCCGACCCAGAAATGGATTAAGGGGAAGAAAATGGATGGATGGATGGTCCGTGGTCCGTGTACGTCGCGGCCATTCTATTTTTGATTAGGAAAGAAAATACAAAAAACGAATATTGGCCGTTTCCCGTTTTCCGTTTTCAAAATAAAATGTAGAAAACGAGAATTTAATCCGGTTTTCAATTTTGTAAGATTGGCACCATTTTCCAGGTAAGTTTATAAATTTAAATAGCAAAACCTACTGTGTTTATGCTAGTGAACGGTTAGCCATCTAAAAAGGCTAATGGTGTCCGCTGATATACATTAATATTATTCTATATCTTGTAATCTTTAATTGGCATAGTGGTAGGCATGGTTAACAGATTCCGGGTCAGCTTCAAAATAAGATCAAGAATGGAAAATCAAATTTTTGCCGTGGTTTTGACGTACACGGACGGTCCGTGTACGTCGCGGCCATTCTATTTTTGATTAGGAAAGGAAATACAAAAAACGAATATTGGCCGTTTCCCGTTTTCCGTTTTCAAAATAAAATGTAGAAAACGAGAATTTAATCATTTTTTCGATTTTGTGTTTTAAAATTAAAAAACGGATAACGAAAAACAGGTCATAATCCGTTTTTCCATTACACATTTACACAAGAAACACCAACATCGAAAAACCACGGCAAAAATTTGATTTTCCATTCTTGATCTTATTTTGAAGCTACAGATTAACGATTATGTTAACAATATCAACACTCACAAAATAAAATTCATTATGAAGAGGAGAGCAGATTAATTAAAGATTACAAGATATAGAATAATATTAATGTATATCAGCGGACACCATTAGCCTTTTTAGATGGCTAACCGTTCACTAGCATAAACACAGTAGGTTTTGCTATTTAAATTTATAAACTTACCTGGAAAATGGTGCCAATCTTATCCACTGTCATGTCGACATCTTTTAAAGTAACCCGTTTGCTGTCTCGATACAAAACAAAAGTTTTCTCCAACTCTGGTATCTCCATTATCATTCAAAAAACTGGAAAACTCTGACTGTGCGGGAAAGCCTCAACAGCTTCCGGGTCAGCTTCAAAATAAGATCAAGAATGGAAATCAAATTTTTGCCGTGGTTTTTCGATGTTGGTGTTTTTTGTGTAAATGTGTAATGGAAAAACGGATTATGACCTGTTTTTCGTTATCCGTTTTTTAATTTTAAAACACAATCGAAAAACGGATTTTCGCCTTTGCCTCTATGCCACCAAAAGCACTGGCTGTCTGCCGACCAACTCCTCACATTCATCATCATTTGCTTTTGTGAATCTGTCTTTTTGTGTCTTTTTCTCTCAAAATGCCATTGTGCCCGGCTGTGACGAGGAAGACAGATCATTTTCATTTGGTGCTTTTTCTGCGCTCAGCAAGTCTGGGAGTAAAGCGGCGTATTTCTCTGCGTTTGTGGGTGTTCCGGTCAGCCGTGTGGAATGATCCTAATAATTCAAGCACAGAGCAGAGGGAACAGTGGATAGTGTGGCCAAAGGGAGGATTTTGAGCTTTCCAAGGTTCAATCCCAGTTACTCAGGAATGCTCTATAGCAGGGGTCCCCAATTAAATTGGCACGAGGTCCACTTACTTGCTCAGTTCAATAGATTAGGGTCCAAACATCATACAAACATTTTATTTCATAGAAATCCATTAAAGCGATTTCTTTCATATGAAATGATTTGAAAACCTTAAACAACGACTACAGTACTAAGAACTATTTGAGAAAAAGAAATCTAAATATAGGTGTGTATAATTTACACATAACATTAATCTGCTTTGTTCATTTCTACACAACACACCACAAATCTCTCCCAAACTCTTAGAGCAGAGGGTGCAACACATGATAGTTGTGGAGGATAAGGGGATCTGCAGTGCTTCTTTCCATCAAATAACGTTTTTGCCATTGCCTCCACACACTCTGACCACAACATATGTTTTTTATGCCCAAAATCCACTGCACTCGCAGTGAGCACTAAAGTAGGGCATACGCTGTTTGCTAATGCTTTTAATGTTTTGGATGTGTACCTCTGTCTCGCTCCTCCTCGCTGCTCCTCCTCACACACCTCTGTCTTGCTCCTCCTCCGTGCACACACAGGAGCACAGGAGTCGCTGCTTCTCCTGACACATCTTTCTCGCTCCTCCTCCTCCTCCGCTCATACACAGACGTCTCTGTCAATTTGGACGCAGCCAGTGTGAGCATCTGAACACGAGCGTCCATTGCTCCGTACACAGCGCTCATGGTTGGGTGTCTGGGTGTGTGAATGTGAGTGCAAGTGTGAGTGCAGTCCGTCTGTCGAAAAGACGCAGAACAGACACCGCTAAAATGCATGTATTTAGTTGGGAGGTTTTGTTTATTGGAGAGTTTTCTTCTGATAGACTGATTGAATCATCCAATGCACTTCCACTTTTTATGTATTTTTGTGTATTGCACTGGAAATAAATGTTAAAAACGTGGACCACCAAGACCCTCTGGTGTCTCCTTGGTGTTCGTGCTTGTGCCGCCTTGTCGCACTAACTTAATGTATCTTACGCAAATGAGGAGAAGTGAAACAAAAGCAGGTGGGAGAGCATGGAGCAGTTAAGCGTTGCATGCTCCATTGGTGCCTCTGTACAAACAGGCGGCCACTCCGTAGTAAAATGGCGAGATTGTGATCAAACAGCCAGCGCCCTGGTGGTTAGCTGGGGGAACTTTTTGCAATGGCCCGAACAAAACATTGGATTTATCTCTCAAGCTATTTTTGTAACTACTTTTAGCTCTTAGTTCATTTGGAAGACCCTTTCCCACCCAAGCTGACTGAACCTTCTTTGCTGATGTCTTGATGTTGCTTCAGATCTCTACATCATGTTCCGTCTTCAGTGCACCAGTTTTCTTTTTACACCACGTATGTAGACTTGTGTCTCAGTAATTCCAACACTGTAGATTATTTGCAATATTCAAAATCCTTAATGGGAAATGTTTATAAAAAATCAGAAGCCAAATCCCAATACAAGTCATAAAACATGTTACATGGACTACATCAATCTAATATCATTTGATAAGGTAAAGCTGCTTTTTATTTGTATGCTGATGATGCTTGGCTTTTTAGTGATAGGGGGAAATCAGAGTACCCAGAGGAAACCCACGCTGACACAGGGAGAACATACAAACTCCACTCAGAAAGGCCCCGTTCCAACAGGGATTCAAACCCAGGACTCTCTTGGTGATTTATGTATGAATATTTATATCTACACTACTCATCATGACCACCAACATTAACAGCACAGAACTTTTTGAATGGGACAAAGATTTTTCCACCGTTAGCAGCATACAGTAGCCCCTCACTAAAACCCATTTCCCCTTTTGCCGCCTTGCTGTTTTTATTACAATTTTACAAGTTTTTTACAGCGGGCGTCTCATCCACTGTGCATACTGTATATTATAATCCCAACAATGTGAGCAGTCAGATGTTGCACATATTTTACCAGTCTGTTGTAGCTAGTGCCGTGTTCTTTGTGGTCGCGTGTTGGGGGCAGTCCGACCTCGAGAGACAGTAACCAGCTCGACAGGCTGATCAGGAAATGTGTCTCTGTGATGAGAAGAAGTGTGGACCCTGTGGGAGCTGTGCTGGAGAGAAGGATGAGGGCTCTAACGCAGGGCATCCTGGGTAACTCCAGACACCCTCTGCATGACACTGTGGCCGCTCAGAGGAGTAATTGTAGCAACAGGCTTATATCACTGCGCTGCCCAATGGAACGTTTCAAGATTCTTTGTTCCTTCGGCTGTCAGACTGTACAACACACTTGGATGAGTCTTCTGCTGTTGGACACCTGAAATTCTTGATGGGGATCAATAAAGGATCTATCTATCTATCTATGTAAGCACCACTGTGCAACATGACAGTTGCCTTTATAGTCAAAAGAAAACTTTTTGTAGCTCTGGGATAGGGATGTAAATCGGCGACCGTTTAACCGGTGGTTGACCGTCACAGCGTTAACCGGTCAAAGCTGTCGGTTAAAAAAGAGAAAAAGGGGAGAGGGGAGGTCTCTTAACAACGCTATTTTAAGCCCTATTTGCACGGTGTGACAAGCGGGTCCGTATCTAGCTGTGTGCGCCAATGTATTATAAACTCCGGGACGACTCTCACGCCGCACAAGCCACATATGCACACACGCGCGCACACACACACACGCACATACACACACACACACACACACTTTCCCCCTCTCCATACGTAACATCCACACGCATCATCTCTCCCCTCTGTTACCGGGTTAGTTGCACACTGGCGCGGGTCAGAACTACATTGGAGCTTACATTTACACACACACACATATACATACACACACACATACACACACACATACATACATACACACACACATACACACACACATACCGGTCTGTCGCGCTCCTCTGTCACGGAGCCCAAAGGATTCGCGCAAATACACGGCTCCAGTCCAACCACATGGAACATGTTTGTGTTTATGGTCCTCGGGATCAGCTCCACACACATCACTTGTATTTAAACTTTTGCGAAGACCTGTGAGACGCGGCTCGTCACTCGCTGCTCTGACCATGTGAACGAGCCGTCGTTTGCTGCTAGAAAGTTTTGGTATTAACCCGCAGCACAGCAGAATGGGAAGATTAAAAAAGCAGTTCTCTGTGCGCAAAAGTGCCGGAGCTGTTGCGGGTTTGGGCGCCGCTGTCTCAACTCTGATCCAGTAGAACGCAGAGCTGCACTTATGAAAAGTACGCGGATCGAAATGGCTGTTATTTAAAAGAACGTGGACTATTTTAAACTACGCGGTTAACCGGTTTCAACCGGTTAATGAGGCTCGGTGGTCGGTCATGAAAATTCATAGTTTTTTACATCCCTACTCTGGGATCAGTTCAGAGGACTACCGTGAACTTTTCATGGCCCTCCCTCCTGCTACTGCCCCTCAACACAGTGTTCTCTACTGCTGCATTTTACAGTGTACGCCGGGATTTTGACAGCTGCAGCAGCGTTCCGACCTAGAATAGATTGGTTTGATATCTCCGTTGCACTCCAGCAGTCGTGAGTGCAGGTGATAAGAAACTGGGTGCTTATGTTTGTGCCGTGGGGTGTTACAGCCTTAAAACATTTGGATGCCTCTTTGGGGATTTTGCTTATTGCAATAAACCATGGTATGTTTAAAAGGCAGAAACAGATTTTGCATTGCTTTCTTTTAAACACATTGTCATGGTTATAAAAAATTAAAATCCACCACTGCAAAAGCTTCTAAGATTCTGGATAGTGTGTAGTTCCGGCCAAATTCTTCAGCATAATTAGACGGTGAAAAACAAGTGGGCCGGTGGCTAGCAGCTCTGATGAAGCTAATCAGCAGACTCCCCGTGGAGCTCTGGCCGCTGATTGGAGCTGGGGCGTCGTGAGCCTCCAAACCACTCCAAAAACATGGGCACTTCCGCGATCGGCCGCCGCCACTCCATCCAGACGTGTAATTGGATCCACAAAAGCAGCCACGATCAATCCCACTCCAGTATCGTATCTGCAGCGAGCACGTAGACGAGAAAACCAAGGTGGAATATTATGCACAATTATTTTTTATATGTGCGGTATTATTACGTCCTCACCACATGCACAGCAGTAGTTTTATTAAAAATACAATATGATCAGTGTGCTAAAGGAAATGGGTGCAAACCGGTGATTTCAAATGGATTTTGTGCATTGCTACTGAGAAAAATATGCACAAAAAAATGGCATTTTATTTTTCTTTTGTCCCATCCTGCCAATGCGATTATAAGACCTCGGGCCTGAGCAGTGGTCGCCATAGTACAGCACCCGGGAACCCATCTCGGGTCAGGACCAGAGCTGAACGGGTTTACCTATTGTACACGTTTTTTTTAGTGAGGAAACGAGTCGGAGAAACTAGACACGGAGAGAATGCATCACCGAAGGCCGTCAGGAATTGCACGCATAACGTGGGACGACCTCAGACAAAACCAATACTAGAGCTGAACTATTCACTCAAGTTAACCTGTCTAGAGCCACTTAGTCCAGTATGAAGTACACGTTTCCGATATAAGTATGGTTATAAAGTATGAAACGAGACGCCAATCAGTTACACAATTGTCTTTTTGAGTTGTTGACTTGTTTACTTATATGCGTCAATAAACAAATCTCCCCATCAAAGATTGAAACCTTACAATTGTCTTTTGAGTTGTTGTTACAATGTCTCCATCCGGACACATGATCACAGAAATGTCTGGCACAAATTGGCACAAAACATGATTCTACTTTAAACTCAAGGACCAGTCAAATTAGGTACTCAGACATTATTTTGTTTTCTGAGAACATGCTTGAAAAAACAACACTATTATGTTATTGTGTTTACCACTGTCTTCCCCCTAAATTAATGAAATGTTTTAGCTATAGGATGTTTCTAAGCATATCAATTATTTTTCCTAATTGAAGTTATAAAGTGTGACGCTGAACGCTTTGTTTGATGATAGCAAATGTGCAAAAAAGATCTAATTAATTGATTATTTTGTTTTTTATCATTTCAATTAGAGGTGAGTATCTCAGCATGTGCCTTATCCAAAAGGTTGGTGCTGTTCACGTTACCATCTTTATCATTTGGGATTAGCTTCATAAACTCGTCATACTGGCCTCATGACAAGCTGTTTTGCCCTTACAATCTTTACAATATTACACCATGTTTTTTTTTAGAACAAAATAATTTCCTTGTGTGGATTTTATTTTTGTACTTTGTTTTATTTTGACTTCAGTGACTTTTGATAGTCTGCCCCGCCCTAATTTGTCCATATGTACCTGTGCTCCTTGCCCCTTGTTGCTGTTCCATTGTCTTTAGATACAAAATTAAATGCATACAGTGTCCATCTTTTGTCACTAAATGGCAGGTTTTAATTCATATGTCAATTCTTACTCCATATCCTTTGCACAAGAAATTGAGACTAAATCAACACTAATAGTACATCATGTTTGTGAACATAGAGTATATTGCTGCTTTTTGCGCCCGTGTTGCTCCATGTGGTTTCATATATAGCTTTGGGAATATCTGAAGTGCTTTCTATAATGCTCCGCAGTATATGGATGGATGGATCGCTCACTGATTTATTTTTCCACACACATACATTATTCACTGTCTCTTCTTCCAGCCTCCTTTCCGCTGCCTTAGCCAAGCACTTCCAAGCTGAGAAGGGGAAGGAGGAGGATCCATGGCATTAAAACAAAAGATATCATCTCTGGAAATATGAAAATGGAAGCATTCAGTTGGAATGAAAACAATTGAAAATAGCCCCGATATCATCACGACTAGCTAAAGAAAAAAACTTGCATCAGAATAGATAATGCAATATTTAATAATGTTGTTTTTCTCTTAATTTGACGGTTTTAAAATGTGCTAATGAAAAAAAAAAACCTTTGAAAAGCATATCATACTTCATAAGTATGATACTAATGCACTAATGCATTAGTGCATTAGTGCATTGCATTAATGCAATGACACTCACATTGCATTAGTGGTGTTAAACTACTACTGTAATCCCCTCGGGCGATAATGTGGGTGAAGTGTTTTGCCAAAGGACACAAGAAAAGTTTGGAACCTTACAGCCACACTGTGACTGGTGGTGTTTCCAGAGGGCTCCCATCACAGTACTAGGCTCAGGCTCTGCCCTGCTTAGCAGTTGAGGAAAATGTTTACAGCTAAAGACAGACAGACACGTGAGAAGTTGTTTCTCATTTTATCAAAGAAATAGTGTAAAATACAAATACTTGAACCTAAACTCAGTTGCATTTATTTATAGTTTTTTTGTTTTGTCAAACTATCTCTATATGTGCTTTTTGAATATTATCCAACAATCTAAACAGTGGACAAACAAAACAATTAACTTAAATCATGCACAGAACAATGTTGAGACACGTGTGGCTTCGAAGTGCTAAACCGCTGTTGTGTCCTTGGGCAAGACGGTGGGAGTCAACACTAGCTTACCTCCAGTGAACATGAGTAGAAGGAATAAAACGCTTTGAGTGTCTAAAAAGCTCCATGTAAGTCGTATGTAATATTTAGATCTTGACCACATTCATTTTATTGACAACCAAGCTTCCATCAGCGTCCACTGAATTTTCTGGTTCATACAGACGCTTCTTTCCACCCTTCTGCGCTCTGAGCATGTGCAGTGGCAGTGGCAGCTGGTGGGTGTGTGTTGATCTCGGGGTGGCGGGCTGGGGAGCCATGGCCCCGGCTGTGGCCCGTATGCGGAGGCCACCCTGGCAACATATGTGCGGGTCAGGAGCGGGTCACCTCCGGACATCTCCTCTGGCGGAGAAACACAGCGTCCGACCGAGAAGGCACCAGACTGTCAGCTCCAATCAGGGCGAGGATTTGAGCTCTGAGCAGGGGATAGTGGTGTGGGGAGAGACATGCTTTTGGACACATGACAGTTTGAAATGAAGATGAAAAACTACATAGATTTGACTTGAAGGATATGCAAAATAGTCATTACTGGGCTTCTAACCATTTGACCTTTTTCCTTTATCAAAACAGACATGGATTTGGTTTTAGCTCTGGCACAAATTGGCACAAATACATCAGACCCACCCCTCCTGTCTAAATCAGGGGTGACAAAAAAGCAGCCAGATTTTGAGACTCCTGAAATGAATCCGTTTTATGGTTTATAATAATCCGTATTATAGACAATCTGCCAATTTTGATTCCAGATAAAGCAAACCATATTTTCCAGAGGCTCTAATTTTTTAGAAAGAATGTTGTACAAGCCGCACCGTATTACCAGCCGCACCGATCCCACATTGTAATATTGAAAAATGTATCTCAAAAGGATCATCATGTTCTTACTACTGTGAGTAATAAGAGTAAGATTTGAGTCACTGACTGTTCTGAATCTTCCAAAGTGAAGCAGAAAGATAAGCAACAACATCTACTGGTCCCCTTTCACTTTCATGTCTATTCAGAAAACAAATGCTTTTTCTCTAACAGTGCCTGCGACATTTGATATATCTTGTGCTCTTATTGTGTTTTTTAATGTTTATGTAGATTCTAATGTTTGATTATTTATGCATGATGTAATATGGGTTTTGAGGCGCTTTGTGTTGCATTGTGTAGGAAAGGCGCTCTACAAACAAACGTTGATTGATTGATGAAATATACCGTCTGTATATCTTCCTGTATTTTCCATGTTGACGAGCCTGAATACAAATGACTGATTGACATGTCATACAATTTAGTTGGATCTCTGTTGGTCTCCTGTTCTGTTGATCTACTGCAGAAAAAAATGAAGCCACACCTTACTATCAGCCGCAGCCTTCAAAATGCAGGAAAAGAGCAGCGGCTTGTTGTCCGGAATTTACCATAGATTTTTTTCCATTATTATACGGCTCCTCACAGCAGCAGTAGAACGCTCCATTGATTTGAATGTAATTTCAAAACATTCTACAAAACATTATAACAAACCTCTCAAAACAATAATGACCGCAAGTAGTTCCGGCCACTCCGGAGCTAGACACGCTCAATCAACACACCTAAATGTTCATCGGGGAATACTTTATACTATCTGCGTCAAAAAGCGGCCGTGAAAAACCCGGAAGTAGTTCCGGCCACTTATCACGCTCAATAAACGCAAATAAATGTTAATCGGAGAGTACATTATACATATCCAGTCTTAATACAAGTGCACGGAAGTTTTCAGAATTTTCCGTTTACGTTTTCATGACAAAAACACTGATGTAATGCGAGAAAAGGCGAAGAAGATACCGGCACATTTTTTCGGACACATTTGCAGAGGATCGAATTATGGATTTAGGTTAAGTTTATGTTTGGGTCACTGTTACGTTCCCCTTGGCTCAAGGGGAGGCAACAAAAAGGAGGGAGAACACGGCAAAGACTTTTGATGGCTCACTGGCCGTTTTATTTAAACAATAATGTGGAATCAGTGTAAATGGTCTGGGATGTGCTGTGGTGCGTGTGTGCGAATGAGTATCAGTGTGATAACCTTATGTGTAAATGGTGCAAGTGTAAAAGTGTGGAGCGGCGTGGCTGGCGGCGTGGAGTGCAGGCCCAGACCCTGTGGACAGGCCCAGGTGTCTGCAATTGGAGAGAGCGAGAGTGCTGCCTGGGACGCCCCTCTTAAAGTCCCAGCGCAGACACTCAACCAATCCTAACCTGCAAAGAGAAAAGGTTAGAGTGAGGGGAGGAGTGCGCGCAATCCCATAGCTGGGCGCGTAACACCCCCACCCCTAAAAGGTGACCAGAGGCCTCACTGGTCAGCACGGTGAGGAAGCCCGGGAAAGTGCGTCCGCGACAACGTTGTCCTTCCCTGCAACATGCTGAACAACAATGTTAAAATCCTGCAGGAAAAGCGCCCAACGCATTAGCCTCTGATTGGAGTTCCTCATTTGATTAACAAACACTAAAGGGTTGTGGTCCGTAAACACAGTGACCGGATAGTGTGAGGACCCAACATAAACTTCAAAGTGTTTGAGGGCCATAATCAAAGAGAGCGCCTCCTTCTCAACTGTGGAATAATTAGTCTGATGTTTTAGAAACTTTTTGGAAAAATAACAGACTGGGTGTTCCACTCCATCCAGACTATCTTGGAGTAAAGCAGCACCCGCCCCTGCATCACTCGCATCTACGGCCAACTTGAACGGATGTTCATAATGTGGAGCCGCAAGAACTGGTGCGCTAACTAAGAGATTTTTTATGGAGTCGAAGGAGTGTTGACACTCCGGAGACCAGATGAACTGAGATTTTGGACTCAGAAGGTTTGTGAGTGGGGCCGCTACAGCAGAAAAGTTCCGACAGAACGCGCGATAATACCCAGCCATTCCGAGGAACCGCTGAAGGCTGCGTCGTGTAACTGGAGGTGGGAACGCCAGGATCGCCTCAATCTTTGCCTGAACTGGTTTGACAACACCACCACCCACAATCTTTCCAAGGTAAACCACAGTCGCCTTAGCTACTTCACATTTCGCTAGATTAATAGTTAAATTTGCATTGTCCAATTTTTCAAAAACTAACTTAAGTTGACAGATGTGCTCGTCCCATGACCTTGAATGGACCACAATATCGTCGAGGTACGCCTCACACCCCGGCACCCCCCGCAAAACAAGGCGCTGAAACGTAGCGGGCGCGTTGCGAACCCCAAAGGGCATGACTGTATACTGCAAAAACGCATCTGGTGTAACAAACGCACTAATCTCTTTAGCGCGCGGAGTCAGCGGCACCTGCCAGTAGCCCTTTAGGAGGTCAAGCTTTGTAACAAAAACAGCTGATCCCACCCTATCGACACAGTCCTCCATCCGTGGAAGTGGGTGAGAGTCAGGTTTAGTCACACTGTTAACCTTCCTAAAATCTGTACAGAAACGGTCAGATTTGTCCTGTTTAACTGCAAGAAGACAGGGCGAGCTCCACGAGCTAGCACTCTGCTCTGCAATTCCATTAGACAGCATGTAGTCGACCTGAGACTGCAGACGCTCTCGCTTCTCCGGATTGAAGCGGTACGGATATTGTTTAATAGGTCTGTGGGCGCCAACATCAATGTCATGTTGCAAAACATGGGTTCGGGACGGCACATCTGAAAACAGTGAGAAATGAGAATTAATAAGGGTCACAATGTCAGCGCGCTGACTATCAGTTAAATGCACAAAACTACGATCAAGATTCAAAAGAATCTGAGAATTTTGCAACCGGCCATGAAGCGCAGCAGCCGAGGGACCCTCAATGTCACAGTCAATTTCAGGACTGGCCAGTTCCTCGGCGTCAGCACCGGACAGCAACCCCAGGTCAGACTCCTGTACAGAACTGGACAGATTCAAAGAGTAATCACAGTGAGCAGGGAACACTGCGAGAACCGCCTCCCCATCAGAAGAGGCCATGTCCACATGCTCACGCTCAAAATATGGCTTAAGCATGTTGACATGACAGAGCCTGCTACCACGAGCACGATCAGGAGTAGCTACTATGTAGTCTCTCTCAGTCACTTTCTTACGAACAAAATATGGACCACTAAAACGTGCCTGGAGACTCGAACCAGGAAGTGGCAAAAAGACAAGCACCTTATCGCCAGGACTAAACTGTCGAACTTTAGCTTTCCTGTCAAACCAGCCCTTCATTCTGGACTGCGCAACAGAAAGATTTTGTTTAGCTAACTCACAAGCTCTATACAGTTTATAGCGAAAAGAACTAACATAATCCAAGATGTTACGAGTGTGCGAGTCACTCATCCAATTCTCATGAAGTAATTTTAGAGGGCCTCTAACATTATGAGCAAAAACAAGGTCAGCAGGACTAAATCCTGTTGACTCCTGCACTACCTCACGCGCAGCAAAAAGCAACAGGTGCACACCATCATCCCACTCCTTCTCAAACTCGAGACAGTACGCACGAAGCATAGCTTTCAGAGTCTGGTGAAAACGCTCGAGCGCACCCTGACTTTCCGGATGATAAGCGCTAGAGAATGAGTGAGTGATTTCCAACTCCTTCGCCACCTGAGCAAAAACACGAGACAAAGTTAGTTCCTCGGTCTGTTTGAATAATTTTAGGGAGGCCAAACAATGAAAAAAACTTCACAAGTGCCTTCACCACAGCCGGCGCAGTTATTTTGCGCATGGGAATAGCCTCAGGAAAGCGTGTAGCTGCGCACATAATGGTTAACAAGTATTGATTACACGATTTTGTACGGGGCAAAGGGCCAACGCAATCAACAACAACATGATCAAAAGGTGAACCAATAGCTGGTATAGGATGTAAAGGATAGGGTGGGATGGGAGGGTTTGACTTCCCTGCCACCTGACATGTATGACATGTTTTACAGTACATTTTAACATCCTTCTTTAATCCATGCCAAAAAAACTGACGCAAAACACGGTCGTAAGTTTTTTTAATCCCCAAGTGACCAGCTAACGGATTTTCGTGAGCCAGTCTAAGAACCCCCGAGCGAAATTTGGAGGGAACCACTACCTGCGTGATGACGCCCCAGTCATCATCTTTCGACGCGTAAGGCGGGGTCCACTTTCGCAACAATACACCATTCCTAAAATAATAGCCACAAGACAGGTCACCAATCTCATCCTCTGTAACAGATGTGTCAATTAACTCATTCACTGCCCATGACGACAAAAGTCGTTCTATTGTATAGTGACGCTCACTGCCCAAGACGACTTAGACGACTTTTTCGTGTTATTACACGGGAGGCTGCAGTAATGTCTGGCGCACCTTGTTAATGACCCACAACACTGATATATAGTGCAAATGTACCTGTAATGATAAATCACCACCAGTAGGATGCAGTATTGCACCACAGGAGAGGTCATAAGTCAGTGGAGAGAAGGAGGAGGAGTGTGGGGTCTTTGGAGAGCGTGCTGTGCTGCTGTAGCAGAGCGATGATAGCGTACTGTAGCATTGAGACGGATCAGATCTAGTTTAGCGATAGTATAGCAAGAGTGATGGCAAAAAAGAATAGTTATAAGCAGTATACACTGCTTCAGAGATTGACTCGCGGATCAGTGAGTGAGGTCGAGAGGGGAGAGAGGGGAGACCCCGGTGGAGGTCCGTATCTGCAGCCATATTTGCGCGGAGCAAGAGCCCCGAGCAGAGACACACCCTCCGCCTCTCGCAGCGTATCAGCTGCTGTTGTTACTGATGCCTCGGATTCGTTCAGCAAACCTGATCATGATTTATCGGACACACTCACAAACACTCACACGCACTCACTCACTCACTCACGCACACTCACTCGCACACTGACACTCACACACACAGACACTCACTCGCACAGACACTCACTCGCACACTGACATTCACACATTCACATGCTTCATTCTATTTTATACATCTATAGTTTTATTGATCTTTGTGTTGTTGTTGTTTGACGTTTTGGTTGATGGTATAGAAGAAAGTTAAATTTTCTATCTGTGAATAAATTGCCAACAATTTGCCATCAAAAGTATTATTTCAGAGTCATGTTTTTATAATTTTTGTAATGGAACAAGTGTGGAGATGTTTTGAGTTGTCACTAAAGCAGCAAAAATGCATCTAAAGTCTCTTTTCTGCTTGATATGTTCCTGTTTACATACAGCTCGTTTTCTCTGTTTTCTTGCTCAGACCAGGTGTTATGGGTGAAAGTATGCTTTGTTCTATGGCAAATAACGCAAGAACGGTAAGAGGTAGAAACAAACTTTTTTTCAGAGTAAAGCAGAGAGGTGAATCTTTAATTTGGTGCCCTTGGTGTTTACATCGTCTAAAAAATGAATATTCTGTGGCACTTCAAAGTTGGGTCAAATCACCTGAAATTGCTGGCAGAATGCACTTCTCAAATCTGAAAATGCCTGGCAGTCAGTGAGTTAAGGAAGCAAGAGACTGGTCACTTTTCTGCTCTGCAATTAAGTTCTCTCTGGACATATGTGTAAAATCAACCCTTGGCTTTTCGACTTTTACTGGGCTCGGCGCAGCACTTTGCACGGCTGGCGCAAGTTCTGAAGTCAAACATGCAGAAGGACTAATGTTCTCGGACAGCTTATGCTCTAAAGCATCATCATTCATAAAGCTGTTCTCCAAGTCACTATCAGAAACATGTAACATAGCCTTTTTTGCCATAGCGCGCGTAATAGCGCACACGGGGAACACAGAGGGAAACTTTACTTCCAGCTCATCAGGACCATCAGAAACAAGGGGCACGGCAGTCACTTCGGGATTAACCAATATTCTCCCCCCAGCTAGGTCATTTCCCAACAGAAAATCAACTCCTTTAATTGGGAAGGTGGCGCACGAAGCCACCGCAACCGGACCAGAAATTAAATCCGATTCGAGCAGTATGGAATGCATGGGCAAATTCATACGTTTCATACCAAAACCTTGCACCAGCTCATTACACTTCAGTGAAGTTTCACTAGACAACGGCAACACATTTTGCTTAATAATTGATCTGGACGCCGCAGTGTCTCTTAACATAGTCACAGGGACTTTCACATTATCTTTAGACAAAGACACAAAACCATTCATAAGAAAAGGAGAGTACACTTTCAGATCTGTCCAGTCTGTCTCATGTGCGCGCGATGCAAGTAAGGACTCCACTAAAGCCACGCCTTTAGGTTTCCTCTTATTAAGTTTGAAACAATTATCAACGGTATGATTACGCTTTTTACAATACGAACAAAAAATATCTTTGTCAAAATGGCCTTTTGCCCTGCCCTGTTCCACCGCGTTTCCATCCCCAGCTGAACCACGCTGCAACGGGATGGCCTTATCAAAATTCTCCCGATGAGTTAAAACATACTCGTCTGCCATTATTCCAGCAGCGGTTAATGTGGTCACTTTTTGTTCGTTCAAATAGGTTGCTATTTTCTCAGGAACGCATCTTTTCAGTTCCTCCATTAGGACCAGATCACGCAGTTGCTCAAAAGTGTTAATATCTTGTGCTGCACACCAGCGATCAAATAGAGCCATTTTTTCTCTCCCAAATTCAACGTAACTCTGTCCTTCAGCTTTTTTGTATCTACGGAACTTCTGCCGATACGCTTCAGGTACGAGTTCGTAGGCTCTCAAAACAGCGGCCTTCACGCTCTCATACTCCAAGCTTTTCTCGGGAGAAAGAGAGGCGTAGGCCTCTTGAGCCTTCCCAGTGAGTACACACTGTAAAAGTAAGGTCCAAATCTCCTTAGGCCACTTTAATGTTTGGGCCACTCACTCAAACAAAATAAAATACTTGTCAATGTCTTTTTCAGAAAATGGTGGAATCAAACGGATGCATTTATTAACATCAAAATCATCATTCCTATTGCCAGAGGGGCCGATACTCACGCGCACCGAGTCGCGTCTAGCCTCCTCTAATTCAAGTCTGCGGAGCTCAAATTGACGTTGTTGCTCACGCTCTTTGAATTCCCATTCCCGCTGTTGTGCTTGATCCTTAAGCTCCAACCTGCGCATTTCTAACTGTAACTCCAGTACACGCACATCGTGGTCAGGCTTTAGCTCAACGCTGGGAAAAACCTCAGCGCTGGGAGCAGGATCCAAGGGAGGGAGAATCCCCTCCTCAGCAAGGGCACAGTGCACTTTTAATTTAATGATCTCTTTTTTATCCAGCTTATTAATATGCACTGCAAAGTTCGTGGCAATAGCAATCAAATCCACCTTTCTGCATTGATCAAGTTTTTCAAGAGTGGGCTGAGCCAAAAACTCATCCAAACTAAACTCCATTATTTTTTATTTTTAATCCACGCATGCAAAGAAGCGCACACATAAGCGTGTGCTCTCTCCACCAGCCAGCCAAAATACTGCCTTAACACAAAGCGAGGGACCACACACTGTGAGGAGAAGTGCTTTATGCACCCAAATCTCACTCACCTGTGTATCCCGAAATGCGGAGCAGCCGTGTATGGGATAGTTATGCGCGCCGCTGCATTCCAGGCGCGCTCCTGAATGAATGACACCGCTGATGACGTCACTGCAGTGTTCATTCACACACAAAAAAACACAGGTTAATGGGGCAATAGCGGACAAGAGCGGGTGGACCACGAGTGATCCACGAGTCCTATAACACAAGGACAAGAGCGGGTGGATCACGAATGTTCCACGAGTCCGTAGCGCAAGTCACACATCAACCACTTCTCTAGGGGGTATACGTCACCGCACGGATGATCCCGGACGAGCCCCCACTTGTTACGTTCCCCTTGGCTCAAGGGGAGGCAACAAAAAGGAGGGAGAACACGGCAAAGACTTTTGATGGCTCACTGGCCGTTTTATTTAAACAATAATGTGGAATCAGTGTAAATGGTCTGGGATGTACTGTGGTGCGTGTGTGCGAATGAGTATCAGTGTGATAACCTTATGTGTAAATGGTGCAAGTGTAAACGTGTGGAGCGGCGTGGCTGGCGGCGTGGAGTGCAGGCCCAGACCCTGTGGACAGGTCCAGGTGTCTGCAATTGGAGAGAGCGAGAGTGCTGCCTGGGACGCCCCTCTTAAAGTCCCAGCGCAGACACTCAACCAATCCTAACCTACACAGAGAAAAGGTTAGAGTGAGGGGAGGAGTGCGCGCAATCCCATAGCTGGGCGCGTAACAGTCACTCACCGCTGATGTTCAGAATTCTTTGTTCAGTTTTCGTTTGTTTGGAAGTTGGTAGTCTAAGTGTTGCTAGCATAGCCACAGGAACTATTTTATTTTCTGTCATTAAATAAACCTTTCGGCATTCCTGAAAGTGGACTGAAGTTTATTTTGTGTGTTCTCTTGGTACAAAGCCGTATAATAAGCGAAAAATAAGTACCTTCAGGGCGGAAGCAGACCTCTGCGCGTCGTTACTTGACTCATCTATAAGGATTAGGAACTTTTTTGATAATTGAATGATTATAATATTGTTTTCCAGTGTATGAATGTGTACTGTATGTGTTTCCTGTGACACTGCTGATTCTGTTTTGTTATAATCGTAAATTGTCCCTTTACCACAAGAGTCCACTGTCCTATTATAGTTTGTATGGATATATAAGGATATGACCAAAACTTTTTCTTTTATTGTCTTTATTTGCATTATTTAAATCCCTGACAACACATGACATTAAGCAATCACAATTCAAAACAAACCCATAAAGAATGTCCTCTGCAACCGACAAAAATAATACAGGCATCAATTAATAAAAAAGGCAAAACGAAAGAGACATAAATATGACAAAAACTACACAGCCTTTTGTCCGTGATGCGCGCCTTGCACAATCTTACAAGGAAAGACGCTATATTAATAACGTGCCCGGGGAGATCATATGCTGCGATGACGCGGACCACTCCCAGGTAAAAATAATCAGAGTGACTTTTTACATTTAAGTTCATGGCAACTGGGTATAATCAGTGTTCGGTGGGATACTGAAAATGTATTCCGTTCCAGAATATTGAATACATGACCTAAATTGTATTTTGTATAGTATACTGTTAAAAAGTGGAAAAAGTAGTACCTGTATTCCAAATGCTTTCAATTAATATTTTGTATTTATGTTTATTGTAAATGTGTATTTGCGAAACTCTTAAAGGCACATTTTAAAATAATTCAAACCACAACCTGAATACATTTTTAAATACATGTATTTGTTTATTTATTTCAATTGTGGACATAACAATACATCACATATTACAATTACATTTCAATTAATTGTCTTTTCACACAAATTAAACACAATCAATAAATACATAAAACACTTGTTGTTTATTATTGTAAAAGAAGTATTTTAACAGCTGGAATTTAACAACCTGATAAAATAGAATACAGTCAGAAAGAGTATAATAACCTTGTGCTGTACTGGGAATAGTTGCACAAGTCAGCAAACTATGCATGTTTTCAATATTTACAAACGAAGTAAATGATAAGACTGTGCTTTTTTTTGTGGCAAACAAATACATTTTTTGAGAGCAGTATGACAGTAAACCAAGCCCTGTAGATCAAAGATGGCGCCCTATTCAAATGAATAGCTTGTGCTCAGTAGCGCATGGGACTTCACGGGCGCTGACATATCAGAGGAACTTGGCTATATTTGGGCATCGTCTGGTCCACCTGGTTCTGCGCAGTGGATGATCTCCCATGATGCATTGCGCCAAATACGCATGTGTGGCTCTGCCACAATCAGAGCTGCTGATCAGAGCAGTGGTAGAGCGGAGTCAGAGCGGGAAGGAAACGAGCAGAGTTTGTGGCAGTAAAGTGTGGATTTAAAGAAAACCGAAGGATTTAAGAAGAAGAAAAGTTCAGGATGAGAAGGGACACTAAAATCCCCACAAAATCCGATATTTCTGAAAGCTGTAGGTTCTCTGTCAGCTGAGGTCGAGCTGTTTTAGTTTACATTGAGTTCTATGGGACTTTTTTCTGGGTAGCCCTCATGAATTTAGTCTGCAGTACCACGGGCGCCCCCTGTGCCCATGGGTGGGACAGCTGTAAGCTTGTAATACTCTATCCAGTTATTATTATAGATCCATGCAGTAAACAAAGTATGGGAAGTCTAAAGTGTCAATCAATCAGCAAATCAGTTTTTGGTATAGAACTGTCCGCTACAAGTTCCTAGTTTTAAAGCAGCAAGGCAAGTTTAATTGTATAGCACAATTCAAACTCAAGGTAATGTGCTTGAACAAAACAAGATACAGTCACACGAGGCAATAACATCATAAATAATCACAGTGCATTTTAAAGAGTAAAGATAAAATCCCTCAGTTGTCTGTACAGCTAGAACTGTTTTTAACCTGGATTTGAACAAAGTCAGAGAAGAAGCCTGTCTCGTATTTTTAGGAAGACTGATCCAGATTGCTGTGAGAATCTGAAATGCAGACTTAGAAGTACCTAACGTTAAAACTGAAAAGAGTTTAATTAGTTTTCACCAAAATCACATTTTGGTATCGTTCTTACTCGGCCAATCACATCACAACCTCTTAGATCTCAGCCCAAAAAGACAAATAGTTAATAAAATAAAGCATTTCATTTGTTCACTTCATTTTACAACTGAATGAATATTGTTTTCGTTGACAACATATGTTTTATATGCAAAAAAGGTTACGTACCCCACCTTTAACCTACACTTCATTTGACACCTTTTCGGACTCATAATAATTTGCTGTTTTATGTGGAGCAAATGTGGTTATTTGCTCCACAATAACCCACTGCAGTTGCTTTTCCATTGGCTAATCCCAACCTAATCCCCACAACAAAGTCATAGGCAGTTTTCTATGGAAATTTCATTAACTAGAACAAGTACATTCGTGGCACATTCGCCCCTGAACCAAGGAGAAGTGGCTATGGTCTGATGGTATCTAAATCCTACTCCCCTACATCACTGATGAGTTCGGCCGGCTGGATTACCTTGGCGTCATCGCACCCAAAAGCTTCCTATATCACTGAAAAATGGGATTATGCCTGATTATGTGCGCCCGGGCATCTGTTAAGGGCAGCGGTCCTTGGAAGAGAAACATATTTTGGTGATTAAGTTGAAGGCCGTGGTCGAGGGAGGTCAAAAGTACAGACTATACAGAGTTTGGAAGACATGTATTCAGGATTTTTAAAACACAAGTTCAAACAATATCGTCTTAAGTGTACAGTAGATTTAAATAATTATGAGAATCCGATAATTGTGACAGACATTATAAGAAACAAAGATACAATAGTGTGACATGTTGGAGTGTTTTGAAGAACAATTTTGTCAATTTACAGATATATGATATGGACTAAGACTAACATTATCATCAAAAGCTAATTACTGGTGTTATAGAAATCTTACAGTAGTATAGTTATATGTGTAAGTTATTAATTATTTTGTTCAAATACAGCACATATGATTTGTTGGCAGCATGGTCAGCTGATAGATGGCAGACAGGTTTCTACATGTCTCCGGCAATATCTGGGCGGAAGAAATGTGTTACATGTGTTATGAGTTGTATCAGCGTACACATAGCGACACATATCAATACTGACTTCACTTGTGTAATATCTAGAGTCGATGTCTTTGTTTGCTCTGGTCTATTTAATGTCCGTGTTTTCCTCATTCGGGGCAGACGGCTGCAGGAGGTATCGGTATCGGTTTTGTTATTCATTGTATATATGCACATTTACTAATGAATAAACTCACACTATTGTATTACGGCTTTTGGCCTGTGCAGAAATTCCACAACATTGGTTTCAGAGAGAATGTTTTGGTGGCAACAAGATGGAAACCCTCGACTGGCTGACTCCTCAAACTTTTGTGGGTATAGTGTATCTAGAATTGTCTACAGCGTGAGAGCACCAATAACATGTGGGACAGAACATTTAGACCAGATTAAGTTGCAAGCTGGGCCTTTTATTTATTTTCTTTGGATTTCTGTCCTGGACCTGGATGTGTTTGTTATGTTTTTTGTTCACTTACAAAACAGAATAAAAATAGACTACTTTTTACTTCAGCTATTGAAAATGTATACCTGTGTTCAGTTCAGCAAAACTTATTTCTGTAGAAAATATTGAGAAAAAAAGCAATGACACAAACAAAAACAAAACAATCTATTTTCAAAAATGAGCAGAATCATAAATTCACTCTTCATTAATAGAAGTTAATCAAGAGGGAATAAAAAACAGGTCCGGACCTCATGAAACTTTCTCAATTCAGGAAAGAAAAAAAACTAACACAGCAATTAGAGTGGCTAGGTCTGCCGCAGAATATAAATGAGTCCAACATGCATGAATTATTATAAAAACTACTTTGAACGTGTAAAAAAACAAGTCTATTGCATTGCCTAGAATGTGTGTGTGAAGGGTTGGTGGTGGTCTGCCTCGCTTCTGTTAGTGTGCCCCAGGGCAGCTGTGGCTACAGTAGTAGTTTGTCACCACTGTGTATGGAGTAAAAGAATAATCCTGAAAAGCTCTATCTAAAATTGATGATGATGATTATCATTATTTGAACAAAAGGCAATTATTTTATGATGGCAATCGTTTTGTCCAGGTGCGCTGTAACAGGAGCAGACATGTTGCTTTGATGGCTGGTAAGGCCTCTGCAAATTAAGTCATCTGAATTTAGTCCTTAAGGCTCATAAATTCAATTACAAAGACAATATTAAAAGTCGAGGACCATAGAGAGCAGCAAACCATGAAATTTACTTTTCAATATAAGTCAATTGGAGCCAGACTTTGTCCACGAGCACTTCCCTATTGAGCTAGTGGGTTAGCATCGTCTGTCTAAATAAAACCGATGCTATGCTTTAATGAAATATGTAGTCCTCAGGGATGTCGTGATAGATCAGTGACGTGCGGTGAGGTTGGTGATTGGTGAAGCACTGACTTCACCCCAATCAGGTATATATATATATATATATATATAAAAATCAACAGGAGCTACAGAGCGGCTTATTCACAATTTGTTTATATATGTTCCATGCACGCATTGTTTGCTCATACAAAACGCAAAAGTATGAAAAAGCAAAAGTGTGTTAGGGCCTTACCTTAAACATAAACTTCACAGACCACTTCAGTTCAGACCAGTTTCATGTTTAAGTCCAGATAATAGTTTGAGCGTAGATATGTAATCCTCCATTTGGAAATAAGTCCAATGAGTTTACAAGAGTAAAACAAAACGGATCTCTCCTCCATAAACTCCTCTCGTGTTTCGCTAGCTGCAGCCAAATCTCGGGTGCATCCAATTTCTAAAATCACCCTTCCTACCCTTCACCTCCCTTCCTTATCATTCTTTGGAACTTTACCTTAAGTGCATTTTAAATAATCTTAAAATGTGTTACATTCATGTTAGCCAAACCTGTTGCTGCCCTTAGCAGAATTCTGCGCTCAAGTGCTTCCCCTACCCCGAGGCTGGCCTCACTTGGTGACATTACAAGCCGAGGTTGAGTGCGATTAAGACCCATATTTTTTGTCAAAAAAACAATTTATGATCCATCCTCTCAACTGTAGACATGTAGATTGTAAAGGAAATATGTTTGAACTTTGTAAACCTTGATAAACAGAGAAAACAGTTTGATGGCACTGCACGGGCCTCTCCCACAGTGAGCTATGGGATTGTACGTCTCACAAGAGAGGCTCACCTCACAGCGCCGCTCTGTCAAATATGAGAAGAATATGACAAAAATCTGTGATTTCAAGGTTAAAAAAAAAATGAAATAAGGCAAAGTTACATTGAAATAGCACAAATAATATGATACAGTGACCAAATATTATTGTTTCCACTTTATTCTTTTTTCTTTTCATGATCGTTGAGACCGGGCCTCACCTGCCTCGTCTGACCGCACGTCACTGTGAGAGATGATATATCAAGTTATTGCGCTGTAACTAAAAATGAGTCGGAAAGTCGGATGGCCTTGATAAGTATAAGTGTGCGTCTTTGTGTAACCTGTGCACACAAGAAATACGCTGCCTGTGTCAAAATCAGCCGCTGCCAAAGCACTGAAACTCACTAAATTAAAGCTGAGATACTATGTTCCCTTGTAGTAAAAATGCAAAGGAAAAAGGGAACTTGTGCCCAAAAGTAAAAACAAGCTGCACACGGTTTTTCAGACTCGTAGCCCATATCAAGACACACTAAACTAACTTGTCTTCTAGTTTCAGAACAGTGTTAAAAGTAAAAGTCTATTGTTCCTCCAAATGGTCGATTAGCTGTTTTTTTGTTATTTTTATTGGGACAGGTCTGTAGTCCAATCTTCATATGTGTTTTAAAGCAGAAGTAAGTCTTGATGTTGTTTGTGTTCGAGCACTTTGGCTTCGGCCGCTCACGTCGTTGCACTGTCCTAACACGGGCCCGTTCTTTGAATGAAATATCATTGTCTTTGGGCGCGGCATTGAATTACCCCATGCATTTGTCAATAGCACTTCTCTTCATGCCCAGATGCGCCTGCACAGTTCAACCTTGAGATATCGATTTCATTTTATTTTTGTTTTGATTTTTACAGAAATCCTGAATGGAGGCGTCTACGTCGACCAAAACAAGTTTCTGTGCCACGCCGACACTATTCACTGGAGGGACATCATCAAGAACCCACAGGCGGAACTTCTGGTGGTGCCGTCCAACAACAGCAACCTGGGATGTATGTACCGTGCACGTGTTCTGGCAAATATGAGTGGCTTTCCTTTGACATCAGCCCACCCAAAGATAGACATTGTTCCTCTATGTGTAAAAGAGTAATAATCTAAGGCAACCAACAATCCTTATTATGTATTTTCTACATGTTTATTGGAAACTTTCTGATACAAGAAACAAGTTTGTGCACTTCTGCATTTAATCGCCCTTGGGACTTTCCGATGTTCTCTGTGAATGCCAACATTGAGAGTAATGCTCATATTAGTAGACAGTGTTATGGGAGCCAAAATGCCTGATGAATCAACCTGTTATCACAGATTAAATGGGCATTTATATGAAAATGTTTTGTTTTTTGCATAGACCCAGTGGCTGTAAGAGTGGTGTCGCCTTAATTTTTTATCCTTGTTCTGTCGACAGCGCTGCAGAATCAATTGTTATGTAGGTTTGCCAGGGTCACGCAGCAGAATTCAATTCAATTCCATTTATTCTCGTATAGCCCTATATCACAACAGTAGTTATCTCAGCGGACTTAGCACAACTGTTGAATTCACCAACACAGATTAGAGAATCAAACAAGAAATGCAATGATAAATAAAAAAAACATAGAGCCATTATGTGACACACTGATAGATCGATCAAAATGACACCTAGCTACACAAATATCCACTTCAATTTCAGATCAATCAGATTTATAGTAGCATAAACACATGAAGAGAAACCCAAACTCCCCAAGACGGACTCCGCTCCTCGATGGTAAACGCCTCCAGGAAGAAGCAGGATGTTTCGAAGCATTTCCTGTTTCTAGGCAGGATTTCCAACGATGCCAAGAAGTACGTGATTGGTCCAGGATAGATTGTAGACAAAGACGTGCGTAAAATTGAGTTGTCACCCGGCGAAAAATTAGTTACGCAAGGAGACGCTCGGAGTGAGTTTGTACAAAATTTGTATTTTTTTTAATAAAAAAATGAATTTTATGACCAAATATGTAACAGCATCTAATGTTTTCAATTTAATTGAGATATTCCACATTTTACTTCTTGTCCCCCAATACACCATATTCAATTAGTATTGTGGTAAATAGTACACAAACTGTGACATATTTTGCTCTGTGTACAGTAGGTCCCATTTCGTTTTGTCGTCTTCATTCACGCTTTTCGGGAATCACGCAGGATTGTCCAAGACTTTCGCTTGGGCGATCGGGGTTTGAGCCCCGGCCAACCCTCAGTTTTTATTAGCGGGGGGAGTATATGAATCAGATTACTCCGTTACTGAATAAAGTTGAATTTTTTTCCTGCAGTTTGGTTGGTGCAGATTGTGAAGTTTACAACAGTTTACTACAGTCTAGCAACTATTTTAAATGTGGTGGCCTAATTACTAAGTATGTTTTAGAAAAAATGTAAACGTCAACAAAATCAAAAGTTTCATAGACTGTACTTGAACCCGAGTCCTCTCACACCAGAGTCCACCTCCTTATCATTGAGCTATAAAGCCACAGAAAGTTGTCCGGTGAACAGAGAAGAAAGACCGATGAGAAGCCAATTTTCCTAACCCTGCTCACAAGTGCCACCTGGTGGTTGTTTGGGTCATTGCAGCATCACTGGGGAAAAAATAAATAAAAGACGCGTGAATCACACGTGAGTCTCGTGTGATTCACGCGTGAAAGGCGACAAAACGAAATGGGACCTACTGTACTTAAGTAAATGCCTCTACATTGTGTCTCCTCCAAGGAAACACATGCAAAAATTGTTTCAATATTTTTTCCTTCTCAATAACCTGGAGTGGCTTTAGCTCCATCCTAGCTAATATTCAATACATTTCAATTCAAATATTTCTTGTTCAGCCCCAAATCACAACAGTAGTTTTCTCAGAGGACTTAACAAAACCGTTGAAATCGCCAACACAGATGAGAGAATCAAACCGTTCAAAGAATATAGAACACATTGGTCCATAGGGAGAGACCAATGTCCATGAATGTTGATAAATGTCCATAGTTGTTGAATGTTGAGTGTCCTGGATCATCACCACAGTCCTCCTTGTTAGACACTTACAGTCTAACAGACTGTAAGTGTAAGGTAAGTCCTGCATCGTGTAAGTCCTGCATCGGCAAGGAAAAACTCTAAAATCCAATGAGAAAAAAAGTGAGAAACCTCAGAGAGAACCACACTGAGAGAAGGATCTGCTCCCGATGTCACAACACAAACATGCTAGCCCACCCATTCTGCCTAAATGTATTGTTATAAAACCTGTTACGGTATCAATCCTCAGACTATGAGATCATGGACGTAGCTGTTTTTTTAGTTCATAAAATTAGTTTTGGGACATAATTCCAGTTTCAGTTGTAATTTCCCACTTTGACCACTTGATGTTTTTTGTCTCTTAACCCACCACAGATGTGTATCGATATATTTTCTACTCCCAATACCAACTCAAAAAAGACATATGGCTCCTTCAAGTGTGTCCCTTGTGATTCCAGTGCGTTGCCTGTGGTCATTTGGTTCACCATCACATAATGTTAGATCAGGGTATGTGTTTCCTGTACCACATGCCTTTCCACCAGCGCAGCCCGTGGAGCCTCCTCCCTTCACACTGACTCTTCTCCAAATCCAATGTGACAGTTAGTTAGGGGCACTTGACAATACGCCCCATCTCTTCACTGCAGTTTGAACTACTGCTTCACTCTTTGGGACATAAAACTCCCAAAACACCTCCAAAAAGCAGCAGTTACTGAGTTACTGATAGTTGAAGAAGTTTGAATTGAATCTGAATTTTGATGATTACACATTAATTCCTATGTTGGCATTATGTCCACATCTGTGTTTAACATGTCTATGCCCACATAGTAACAGAATAACAGCAGGTATATTCAACATGTGGCCCAGGGTCCAAATCCCTCCCAAAAATTGACCTCACCCCTCTGCCCATCTTCAATATTCAGTTCTGGATTTGGCCTGGTTCAATTTTTCTTGATGGCTGGGTGGTGTAGTCTCCTCCTGGGTGGTAGAATCTTCTAATTAATTTATGATCAATCATGGAAGAAAAATGTTGATTAAAACTGTGAAGTATTAAAAATGTGGTGAGGGATAAAGAAATTATTTGAAAAGCGTTTTATTTTTGTTTGTGTGCTTCTCATTAGTGTTCTGTGACTTTGTTGTTTTTTTTTTAAGTTTAGTGTTTACTTGGTTGGGGCAGTACATGTTAATGATCATATCCCTCCGAAGTGTAGCGTTGGGTTGATTTCATCCGACGTTCCAGAGTCGCACTCATATTTTTATGGCAGGGTAAACCGGAGCACCCAGAGGAAACCTGTGCAGACACGGGGAGAACATGTAAAATCCACACAGAAACGCCCTGTTCCGACCGGGATTCGAACCCAGAACCACTCAGCCACCATGTCGCTCGATGACTTGTAATGCCACACTGAACTTTCCCCACTGTGGGACAAATAAAGGATCTTAAACTTAATATTTTGCAAATTTTGAGTTGCAATGTCTTTTAATGTGACCAAGGACACATGGATCCCAAAAATACTTCTGTGGTATATTTGTAAATCTGTAAATTCATAGTAATACCAAGAATAGATTTATTTTATCTTGCAACTGTGAGTGATTTTGTAGATACTGTAACTTACTATTTTCATTAAAAGGTCCACAACTATGAAAACCGTAATTAGCATTTAGTTATAGTTATGAAGTTTTGAATTTTCAATGGTAGATTTGCGCACAAAAAAACAGCAAAGTATCATGTCATTTGGTTTTGTGCAATTCCTTGTGGAAATTTGTCGCACCAAAGAAGTGACTCATAAATCCTTTGCTCATTTCAGACACCATTTCTGGGGGTGCCATGTCACTGCAAACAATAGGGACAGCTGTGGCACCTTGGGCTAGGCGTGTGCGTGCGAATGTGTGTGCAAACCAATGTCAAGTCTTTTTTGGAGGGGTTTTTGGGCTGATTTGAGCCTTGGCTTTGACAAATCCTGAAGTCATTTGGGCTAATTCCTGTTATTAGTGTCCAAACCTCCAGCCTTGTGCACACGCAAAGGGCGTCATGAGAGATCACTGAGATGTGTGTAGTGGCGCTGGGAGGTACAATATTTGAAGGGCGATAATTTTGTTCGCTTCCTGCTGTGTTTTGTAAATTATACAGTTGTAAATAGATTGCTTTTACAACTTTAACTGGGAACAAAGAAAAACAGAATTTGTTCTTGATGATTTGTCATAGGTGAACAATAAAATACAATAAAATAAAATACCATAACATATATCAATGCTTTAGCCATATAGATATATAACACAACACACAACATTTCCTATACAGTATTCACTTTCCGCAGGCGGTTATCCCTCTCTAAGCTCAGGTCCTTCACCGGAGGCCTGGGAGCTTGAGAGTTCAGTATCTTTGCTGTTCCTAGCACTGCACATTTCTGGACCGAGATTTCCGAGGTTGTTCCAGGGATCTGCTGTAACCTGCTCCATCTCTGAGCTCACGGCCCTGAGTGTACTGTTCACCACCGGCACTACTTCTAGTTGTTTTTTTTTTTTTTGATGGTCTCACTTTGTTCCCACACACCTTAGCTCGCCTCAGCAGTCATATATATATCTCCCAGCACTACTACGAACATACCACACCAGATAAGACCCAAGGTGTCGACTTTTTAAAATTTAAGTTGACAATAATTTCCTTACTTTAACAATGTAAAAATATATTTGTTTTTGTCATATGTCATATGAAAATGTATAGCTGAAGAAAATCCAATGAGAATATGCAGTAATGGATGACGAGAAAGTGCAACACTGCATTCTAGTGGAAGATGTGGGAAATAACATTAAACTAGATTCATGTTTAAAAGGCCTATTTTACAGGAGACCCCACCCCTCAAACGGATTTGGAGGAATGTATGTAACCCTAGCTCTAAGTGAGTAAGTTATCTGAATATTGTTATAATTCATTTTTTTTATTTAAACAGTCTCAGCAAGAAGGTCCTGGGTTCGAATCCCGGCCGGACCAGGGCCTTTCTGAGTGGAGTTTGCATGTTCTCCCTGTGTCTGCGTAGGTTTCCTCCGGGTACTCCGGTTTCCCCTACCACTAAAAATATGTACAATAGTTCTGGCATGCGCCTCCTGTACTGGCGACCCCGCTCCCATCTCTGTGTGGAGTGAGAGACAAGTGCCCAAAAATAATAACAATTGTAAACCGCTTTGTGACTCTGGTCTGTGAAAGGCGGTATATAAATAAAGCTTACTTACTTACTTACTTTCCAGTGGCATTTTGTTGACTGATGAGGCGGGCTTAAGGCGTGTGGGAACAAAGTGAGGCCATCAAAAAATAAACAATTATATTATGCCAGGCTGTATTTAACAAGGCACAAGGCAGGGGCACCCACTTTCCTTTCTCAACTTTGCTGTATAATTAACCCCCAGTCGATTAGCCAGTCAATCCCATGTCTATTGTGGGGACGTCATTGGTGGAGAAAGTTCTTCAAAAGTCTTCAGAGTGGACTTTGACGATTTGAAAGCAGTGGGGAGTGGGAGGAGAGTTATTACAGTGTGTCAGTTAAGTTGTGCATTCAAATGTGTGTGTTTTGTTGTTTGGCAGGCCGACGCTGTCACCGCTCGTGTAATGGGAGGTGCTGGGGACATCAGGAGGACCAGTGCCAGACATGTAAGTACTGAAAAGTTGCACTGAAAAGTTACACTTAAAAGTTGTATCTTAGTTTAGATGAGTTTTTGTATTTTACAAAAGGTGCATCCATCTATTTTCTTCCGCTTTATCCGCTGCCGGGTCGTGAGGGCATCAGACTTCAAATTCGCAAACACGTATCCCAACTCATCCAGGGGGAATGTCCTGGGTCTTCCCTGAGGTTTCCACCAAGTGGGACATGCCCACTAACACCGACCCGAGGCAGGAGTGTGGCGAGTGTGCAGCTGCAGCGCAGCCATAATGTGACCAGAGTGCAACACGTCTATTCCCTGGACATGTGTGTGTTTCAGCAGTCTGTGCACACGACATATACACAGCTGCAAGAACATAACCTGATTATGGGAGCCCCAGGATTTTTCCATGTCTTCCCCAGTGTCTCCTCCCGAAGCGGTGTATAATGATGGAATAACATAAACGTGGAGCTCAAACACTGGCAAATTATTCACAAAACCAGATTTATTTTTATTTTTTAAAGTGTCTTGTAATTCTTCTAATGTCATGATGAAGATGAAGACAGTTATGTTGATCTTGTTTGTAGTCACACGAGCGACAATATTGGCATAATGACAACTTAACCAGTCGTGGACAGTCTGGGCTGTTGCACCCGTTGCCCGATATTTACTGTTCTTTCCTTTACAAAGTTATCCTCGTTAGGATATATTTGAGTTTTTCTTTATTTTGCTCTGCATGGATGAGAAACTTGCCATAGATTCCCTCTCGATCTGGGTACTCGCGCAGTCACTGTAGAAGAATGAATGCAAAAATCAGAAGTTTATTTAGACGCATTTTTTTGTCTTTTGTTTTCCCTGTGGTAAACAACCGACTCGGGCGACAGTGTAGCCTGATAATTGTAAATTGTTGACTGTTAAACAAAATCGTACTGCTTTGCTCTAACAATAGCGCTGCACACACCGGCACCTTTCTGACCTCACAGTCCATTGCTCCGCTTTGGCCTCTGACCGGAGGTGAGCCCAGTTACAGACATTAGGTAGGATTATTATCAGTGTATGACAGTACGGCTACAGTGACAGGAGGTTACTGCCTCCAGGGTCAGTGATCGGATACACACCTCATTCACTTAGCGAGAAAGCTGAGGGAAATATTCAACTATAATATTAGTTTGGGAAGTGGAAAAAAACAATCTATTAATTAACAACCTTCTTAAGTAGTAGAAATTCACAATGTCTGCAGCAAATGTGTCCATATAGAGGACATATACAGCCTATTAATACATGCAAATAATTATAGGAACAGCAGTGAGGCACTATAAAAGCTGTAGTTAAAAAATCTCTCTCTAGTTCATTCATCATTTGCACCCTATGTAACATTTCAAATCAAAAAACAAAGTAAAATAAGATAAACTTTAATCTGTACTTTTTCAAAAACTAGGCATTCAAACAGATGTAGAAGCAGGGCAAAGTCTGTTATTGCATGATATTTTCTTTGGTTGTGATTGTGGCTGAACATATTATAATGATAATAGTAAAAAAAGATAATGTGTTCAAGATGTATTTGATACTTTTATTGAACCATATTCATATTCATAATTCATACTAGTGTGGTAGGTATTTTTCTAATCCCTTCATATCTGGGTTAAATGCTTGAATCATGAGTTTGAATGAGGATACTCTCAGTAATCTGTGCTAATCTCTACAAGCATGCAGTTATTAAAACGATTAGATTTACGGATTAGCACAGCACAAAGCCAAACCAATTCAAGAGGTGAAAAATAAAAACTTTAACTTCAAGCATTTTTATATTTTCTTGTCACTCAATAATATATTTTCTTCTCACATTCACTGATATAACATAATTCGTACAGGTTCTGTATGTATGTTTTATTGGATTGAAATTAGTGTGAATGACATAAAAAATGTATATCAAACATTGCATTAAGAAGTACAGGTATTATGAGTTTGTGTGTGTGCATCATATATGATCATTGAAGAAAACTGATCTATGCACATGCAGATGTATACGTAGTTACACCACTAAATTGTTTCACAAGAACATTGGACAAACTTTGTGGAAGTAACATTTGTACTTGTAGAACAGATGGACTAAAACAGAAGTCCCGGAATTAAGAGTTTATGTCAATGTCATCCTACCTTCATTTCATAATGAAGGAAATTTGCTTGGATGGAAATAAAACTGGACCAAAGGGAATAAAGTATTGTAGACTGCTAAACTGAATATGGTGTACCTTTAATTAATATTGTATTGCATTTAGTGTTCAAAGTTCATGGTGATATAAATGGAATGGGAGCCGTTGAGACCACTATTGTAAAGGATGCAAAAAAGTTGCACTTTTGCCAGTAATTATGAGTTTGTTTAAATATATATATGTATAAAACTAATACATGCTGTCATTTGAATATTTCACATGAATAGAGGTGAGGCTATAAGTGCGCCCCTGCATTTAGCCTCACCTTATAAATATCAGACAAACTGGGAAACAGATTTTCTGGTTTGAGAAGCTTAATTTATGTTTAGCAAGAGCCAGTTTCTGCTGACTACTAAACAATTGCTATCTCTGATCCCTGTATTACTGTGCAGCACTTGTTTAAATTGCCGCAAAGTAAAATTAGCGATGTCAATATTAAGAGTTACCCACAGATATGGCTTAACCTGCACGGCATTGGCTAAAATTGCTTTACTTGCAATAAAACTCCACTGTCCACCATTTCTAAGGTCAAAGGTTATGTCATCCTGGGATATTTGGAGCTCGAGTTCTCTTAAAGAAAATACGAGATGAGGAGCCATTAATTTGTGATTTCCCAGATAATACCAAACAATACCAGATGAGGCCAGAGGGTGTCAGTAAGTGCTACGGTCAGCAGAGAAGCCGGCCCAGACTCAACAAATGCTGTGTTCCTGTGTTCAGCTGGTTTCACTTTTCAGAACATTTGCAATTCAACAATTACCGGTATGTGTAGAAAGAGAACATTATTCAGTAAGCCTTGTGAGGTTGTCCTGCTCAACCGATATCATGCTAGTTGGTGCTAGCTCCTCACATGTTCACAAATTAATGCCATTGAACAATTTAATGGTCATATTTGTGGAGATACACGTGGAAGAATTATGTATACTAAGTTTTTAAGTAACCATTCACTTTTTTTTTTTTTACACACAATAGAAGTAACGTATGTCTTGCAACAGAAATGTTTCAACGAGCAAAAAAAGACAAATTATGCTTACTCAATTATGCTCAAACATGAGGGAAGATAGCAACTGCAGCGGTTCTGTTGATCAATAAACAACTGCAAGCTTCTGTCCATCAATTCCTCTCCCCATTCTGTGATTGGTCCCAAATCCATGCAAAACATATTGATCAGGGTTTCCATGATTTGTGCAGTTTGAAATAATTTGAGTGGAAACTTCAGCATGGGGATTCCCCAGGCTACTAATGGACTGTGTGATGAATGCAGTTAATACAACGCAGATAAAACTGTGATTTGCAATTGTAATCCATCATTTGCTCTCTGGGGTTTTTTTGGTGTGACCAATAAACGAAAAGAAGTATCTATAAAACTTAAGAAACATGGCCTGTCCATCGAGCGCTCATACCGCAGAATACCGCTTTGTCTATCGAGCTCTTACAAAATTAACGGCTGATGGTAGGGCAGAGGAAAAAGGGAATTGGGGTTAGGCCTAAATTTATAAATACAGATATATGCTCTAAATCCATAGCATGCAAGGCCACACATTCATGTTACCTGAAAGTTCAATTTCACAAAAGAGTTTCTTCACTAATGCTAATGGACTGAGGACAGACTGAAATGACGCATGGACACTCAGACTGAGGGAGAAGTGAAAATAATTTAAAGCATCTCTCCCATTTAAATCAATACTGTGCTGACAAAAAGCATATGGCCGCTTCTTCCTTCCTTGTCTGCTGCTAGACTCTGCGGCTGTGAAGTATTGGACAGAGGACAGATTTACACTCCACAGCGTTTTATCACAAGGGGGAAGAGTGGAGAGGAGGTCAGAGAGTGGGACCGGGCTAAAGACAGTGAGGGCAGTGTGAGCACAAGGGACAAATGACAAACTAACAGGGCTAGACCACGAACAGCCATCTCTGCAACACGGCCATATACTCATGGTATATTAAAACTATCAATGTGTGTCTAATGTCTTTTCTCCTTTTCTGTATCTATAGCAGTGGCTCTAAAAATGGATGCAAGTAAAATCTGTGAGGTTTCAACTCGATCTGGTTCGTACATGGGATTCCTTTTCAATGCAAACGGTTGTGTTCATGTGACATTGCAGAATTCCAAATAGCCTAGAGTTTTACACTGTGAGAGGGCAGTTGAATAATCTGTTTTGGAAACTATGGTAAGTGTCAAAAGAGAGATCTCTAGTCCCTTAGTTTAGATATTTTCCCTAATCCGTGGGCCAATCCAGGTGAAACAATGACTGTTGCAAAATTCCTCGTCGTCTTTGTCAGTACATATCAACTTTCTCATAAAAGGTGTCTAGAAGTTTTGACAATATGCATGATGTTTGCCAGTAGAAAGGACTTCTAGACATTTTGAACATTTCATGCAAAAATGGCTTCTTTCTTGCAGTGTGGCACCTGCCGTCGAAGTGAATAATAATTCTAGAACATGAACACAACCTATTAAATGTTTTGAATTGTATAATGTTTCCAGATAGATGTTAAAGCCCTATGTTATTGATTAATTTATTGACCATAGCGTTTAAACCAGGATATTCAAAGTCCCACTGAGATTTCAGAATCTGTTTTTCAGAGCAGTTCTGGCCCCAGAGACAGGAGAGCTATTGTACCCGTGTATGTGTTTTGGAATAGGGGAAACCTAAGGCACTGTGCCCGCCCCTGCCAGGACAGAGTTTGGCCCATGAAAAGACCTGTTTTAGAATTGTGTATTCATAGTACTGCGTAGACTGAGTCCAAACATTTTGATCTGATGGGTACTTGGGAGGTGAAATTGTTTTTATGACCATTTCTCTG